GTATTCTAGAGACGTTGTTGGATTTTTTCTTTATAGTTAATTTAACAAGTTTTACCGCGTGCTTTACTTAAAAAGTAAACTTTGTATTGTGCAAAAGCAGGTAGCACTTATTAAGATCTACTTTTCATCGATTTCGCAAGGGTAATTGAAATCCTAAATTCTACAGAGGATGAGTGTTTTTTCATACTGATTAAAACTGCCATGTTTTTGCAATTCTCACAATTCAAATTTGTTAGAATCAAATTTTCTAAAAATCGAAGAGATTGAGGCTATATGAGAGTAAAAATATGAATATATTAAGTTATCTTGAAAAAGTTTACAAAGATTCCAAAAATTGTAGAGTGAATTTTTTAGAAAATCAAGTTTCAGTGCCTAAAATAATCCATAGATCCAATCAGCTTTCTCTTGATTGATCCTAGAATTCCATAATCCTACAGCTGCAGATTGTGAAGATTTCGAGTCGGGTAATTCCATGCTTGGAAAGGCGCGAACGAGAAACGGAGAAACAATAGGGGAGATCGGAAATTCGCATTGGCAAAGAGTCGCCGACCTAATCCACCGGCAGAAAGATCTCGAAGCATGCTTTGGTCGCCGTGCGGTTTGTCGGCGGTCGAACGACAAGCGTTCCCCAAACACAGAGGGACAAGGCCAACCCTCGGGGGTAGCAGGCAACAAGTGACCACAGAGCCAGACATACACGAACAACACCCGTGAGCGCTTTTACTTCCCCCGCTCACTCTTCCTTTTTCTTTCTCTATCTATCTGTACCTCTTCTTTTCTCTTTTACCTTTGTGGCTGTCGACCAGCCGGTCGTCGTTCGTCGACGACAATCGATATATCGATCGTCCACGGAAACCCGACGTTATGTCGGGCACACGTGAGAGTAGGAACACTAACGTGTAAACGTACATTGGCGAGGGGACCGAAGGACGAGAGCGCGGATCCGTTGCCTTACGTGGGTTGTGGTAGGCCACGGACATCCGTTCATCCGTCTTTCATGCCCTTCGACGGTCTGCTATCGATAGTGAGCACTTTCTATCCTGAAGAGCGAACTATGATTGTGCGTGAAGGTAAAATAAATATCGTATTACGCATCGTACGAATACATCGATTTTTTCTTCGGTTGATTCTTGCTGCGCTTTCTTCATTTTGAAGATGTATCTCATTAAAAATTAAATCCTTGTAAATTCTCTTTCAGCAAAATTTTATCTGGCGCGATAAAGAATTTTATTATATTACTATAAAATAAATTGAAAGTTGTTTTAATAATTTAAGAAAATTAAATTTTATACGTGTGCGAATATTAAAACATTTGCATGATGTTTCATAATATTATATAAGACAATAATTATCTTATTACAATAAGGTTATATATAAACATATTTGAATGGTTTTTATGTTGTAATGGAGTTTTATGTTTAATATATTATCATATTTTTTGTTGCTTGTACATTGCTGCATAATTTTTATTTATTATTTATTCAGTTTTATCTTGCTCAATTATTATTACATATTATTATTACAATATTAAAGTTAAAGCTTTGTATATATTCTAAAATTTAATTATATAATAAGAGTATAAATAATATAATCTTAACGATTATATATGTAAAGTCAATATTAATATTGATTTAATATTGAATTTTCATCAATACTCTTTATTTGACAATCTATTAAGCCTTTTCACTTAAAGCCTTTAAACAATCAACTCTTACCGGCCTATACTCAAAAAGAAATCTCACGCAAGATTCTCTTATATCTTGTCTAATGAGAGATTGACGTTGCGTAAATTTCGGTTACTGACCAAACAAAGATATAAGCGATGATAAGATGAAGGCAGAACGAGCGATAAAAGGAAAAGGGAGAGAGAAAGAGCAAAAGCGCTCGGACGGTAAAAGGGTCGAAAACCGGAAGTTCGTTAGCCGCGCGAACGGAGGAGACGCGGTGGCCGCTGGCTAAGGGAAAACACCGCCCCCCACGACGGTATTTCTTTCGGGTTTTACACGGCGGCGTCTCGACGTGGCAATGTTTTAGCGTATTGATCCGTTGGGGGTTTAGTCGAGTCGGTGGTAAGAGAACCAACGCGGCTAGAGCCAGCGGGTTAGTGACGGAGGGGTGGGAGATGGTTGCCGCCACGTTGGTGGTAGAACGGTCAACCAGGGTTGCAGGAGGGGGAGAGGGGAGTAAAAACTGGACGGCGGCACTTACTCGCTCATAATCACCCCCCGAGCCACTCCAGCCACCCTCGACACCACCCCGGCGTTAGTGCTTCGCTGCACTCTCATCGACACACGTAACGGGTTTCGCCTTTATGTGGGTCTGCTGCGCGCGTGTGTCTCTATCTATGTGTGCATGTGTACGTATATGCGAGGTAAACATACGAAGGCGACGGACACCCAACCCCAATGTACGTGCGACGATTAGGAGCCGCGTGCGAGCATTAGCTTCGAATAGTTACGTGCGTTCGGCGGCGGCCGGTCGATCCCCAAATAAGGCGAACTGGTATTTCCGTAGAACAAAAAAGATTGGAATAAACCGCGTAAAATATAGCGTTGAATTGTATCCGTACATTTTTTATTTATCGTCATTATATTAGGTACATTCAACTGAAACAATGGAATTAGGTCATTGTTCTATAAAAATCTCAGTCAGTGTTTCATTTGAATGTATCTGATATTAAAGTTTAACATTATTTTTTAATATTGTTAACGATATTTTAATGTATGTTTGCAAATTCTTGATAACTATTTGGAAAATGATTGCATCATGTTTCACAACTAGAAAATTTAATTTAATTTTATAGTGGAAAAAATTATGCTTTTATCTAACAATATGCTATTTCTCTTTTATTCCAGTAATAGTCTCAATCTTTTTTTATAAATATCTATACTTTAATTTTTTTCTTTGCGTGTTGTGCGCGAATGGAATGATTTCAAATTTTTAGAAACATATTTTCATTTGAAGAAGAATATTGTGT